CTTGCAGGGCTTGAAGCGTTGCTTGGCACTGAGATGAGCAAAACTGGCCACCAGAGACGGGATGATGTGGGTAAGTCGATTGTTTACCCTCTGGTAATTTAACATAACTATATGGAAAATCACCATGTTTAATGGGAAAATCCACTATAAATGGCCATTTTCACTAGGTATGTTAGTTTACCAGAGGGTAAGATGTTTAGAGTTTAAAGTTAGATACTTTGAATTTTAAGAATATCTTAGAATGGTCAAATTTGTGGGTCGCTTTGCTACCCCATGTTTGACTTGTGCCATAGATGGGGTTTTATTGTGTGACCACACCCGACCAGGAAGTTTTGCTTGGGATCAAAGTGAAACTACAGGTGAACCTAGGTTCGCCATCTTTGGTGGAACATTATGGAAGTGATATGAGGTATCTCTGATATCTCTTACGCACCAATGGGACCAATGGGGGATAGAACCAGCAACTATGAGATATTTTCGGAGGTCCCGGCCGTGTTGCATGGAGGACCACCACTTAGATGCAGCACAGGCATGTTGGAACTTTCATCACATATTTGCATGAGATTATATATGAGTAGTTTGGGGCATTTAAGAAATCGCGTCCTCAGGATTTTGGTCTCTTGGATGTTTGAAATCACCGAGATGTTTAGCCATGTTTCTTCAGATTTCAGGCTGTATACACACAGCTCTTTGAGCAAAACGCACAGCCACGCTGCAGGAACGGACCTTGCAGAGATGCACCTTCCTGCGGGGGTCCAGATCCTTTGGGGAAGCTACAGAAATGTGACAGCACCAGTGAGTGCTGAGACATCTGGGTGGCTACCTGCATATCATGGCACTTGGTTCTATGGACTCTGGAGCATCCTTCATCATGGCATTTTCCTTGAATCCACCGATGAAGGCAGAGGCGGCATCAGTGGTGTCGTGCCGATGCCTGGGATCCTGAAGTTGTTGGCATCTATCCCAGAGTAGAACATTTCTCCCAAGATCAAATCCGGCCAAATAAAAACATATAACCCATAGGATCCATGTATGGTATATATGCTAACATTTGGGGTATATTGATGGTAAATGTTACCATATATAGCATACATGGATCCTATGGGTAATAAAAACCGGGTTTGTGTACCGGATTCCTTTAAAGACATATATCAATGTCGGATTCCTTAGTGGTGAACTGAAAAAGATCCGATGTGATCACTAGACACTTCTGGGTTCATTCGAATGGCCGACACAAAAAGAGGTCATTAGAATATTCATTAGACATGGCCGACCTTTTCAGGTTAGTTCCACCAGATGATGTTTATTGAATTTTGTACTTTAGTGATTAGCACTCTTTCGCCAGATTCATATAATATTAATATGATCTGATGTAATGATGTAATGTGTTTAAAATGTCAAGTACTAATTCTTAATCTTAATCAACATCGCCAACTACAGTATTTGGTCATGATTGGTCAATAATGATATAGGATTTCCCTTGTTTTCCCCAAAATGTTCCCCAAAATGTTTCCCCTATCATGCCACACGCGAAACGCCACGTCAGGTCATGAATTCTCAACACCGGGCGTCTACGTCACACGGCGCTTCGAGACAGCCAGGGAATACGCGCGGCCGCATCAGCTCTTTTCGGATGGGACCTTCTACCGCTGCGTCGTGAAGGCGGGCCGCGGGAGCGAATGTGGCGGTGAAATCTTCGCAAGACTTGGCATGGGTCATCGGACATGGTGGGCTTTTATCGGTTTTATATGGTTTTATCATTATCAATACAATCTGACTTAAATAATGGTGTTGTACATTGTAGGAAGAATTAAGTCACATGGCTTACCGTACCTTGTAATATAAATTACCGGGATAAATTTTATGGACATCCAGGGTCATTTACCATTCGAAAAATGATCTACATGGCAGGTTTTCCATTATCTATCAATTGCAGCGGAGGGTAATCCAGAAGATGTCGTGGTGTTGTCCCAAACATCGGGGTAAACACCTCATGATATATATATATATATACCGTACCTCAAACATGTATACAGCATGATTCCCCCATAAGTTTAGAACCCCAAATCGCATGGTTTGTCATCGTATACCACCAATGGGGCTACCTAAGATGGGGTGCCTCTCCTACCATTTCAATATCAACGAGTCATTGAACATATTTTGTTTTGCAAACATCTGACTCCATCAGAGCGTGACGACGAACTGACAATCCATAGAATCGGCAGTGCCAATGCAGTGTTCAGGTTTTCCGAGTTGAGTTGCGCGCAATTCCCGAGTGTCATAATGTACAGCTACTCCTGGTATAGGTACAGTGACACGGGACATTACAGGACCATATCCAGGCCCTAGCTGTCCTACTGGCCCTACTGGGCAGGTTCGGTATGACCCTCAAGAAGTGCGGAAACAAAAATCCAAGGGTGGAGATCAGGTGACTGGGCTATGCGGTTGTGGGTGCACTTGGTATTGTTTGTAGCGCTGCTTGTGGAAATCCAAAGGATCCAAAAAGGAAGCGCCAGGTACAACGGATGGAAGGCGTGTTCATGGATTATTTTGGTGGTTTTTTCTTGGCTGGGCATCTCCACGTATCCCAACCCTGTTTGCAACTTTGCCGGGGTTAGCATGTATACCATACATGGATCCTGTGGGTTATTGGCAGAGATCAAATGATATGAATTTGGGTCCAGCCGTTGCCCCGTTGAGGTGGTGGTTCCAAGTTGCGCAGTGGTCATTGAAGGAGTCTTCTTCTGCGCGAACGATCCCCCAATGAAAGGGGAGGAACGCTTTGAAGATTGGCAAGATGCACCTTGACCTTTTGCAACATTGCTGAGGGATTTGAAGTATTCATGAGATTTCTATGGTTGCCTTATGTGACAATCTGACATGAGAATGGGATGGAATGGGAATCCTCCGTTTGTGGATTGATTATGACAAATTCCTAGTGAGAGAAATGGTGAGCCAGGTTAGATTGCTTCCAGTGCCAAGATCAGGTTGGTCGCGTTTGTTAGATGCAAACCTCTTGAGATCCCCAGCCAACCGTGGCCAAGGAACTGGAAGTGATTCCATATGGTATTGTTTCTTGGTTGACAGCTTTTATGATTGGTGAAGGTTAGAGGGCTTGTTGGATGATGAGGTTCTGGGAATCCGGGAAACATTGTGCGGTTGATTTGGGCGTTTCTTGAAAGGCAGTGGAATCGTTGGAACAATTGTGGGACTGGTGACTGACACGAGACTTGTAAGTGGACATGTGTGAAACCCAACCTGTTTGATCCGGCATGTGGAGCTGATTCAGCCAATCAAAATCAGCCTAATGACCTACTGCTGCGCTTCAAGGAAGCACCATAAATATCCATAAATGTCATGGATCAGCCAGGACTCTCCAGGTGTTGTGAGGGGTTGGGCCCGGGTCTTCCAGGTCCCAACCGCGACGGAGCGCCTTGCAGCCGCGCCGCTGGAGGTCGCGGTGCCAGAGGCGCCTGTGGAGGCGGAGGTCGACGCGGAGGCAATGCCGTTGTTCTGGCGGGTGGATCTGCCGGAGGCCCAAGGGGGGGCTGTTGGATGGCCGGGGAGCAAGGCACTGTCACATTGCCACCTGGGTATATCTGCAGAAAAGATCAGATTATGACCCCCCGAATCAAGGAACGATGGCGGTTTGTCGGAAAGTTGAGCTAGGCAGCTAGGCCTGGTAAAGTTTGGTATGAAAATATACATTATGAATCATTATGATATGGATCCATATGGTTCTGTAGTACACAGTGTACATCTACAAAGCAGGGGTGAACACATGACATGACACACACACGCAAGCAATATCAAAAGGGAATACATGTAATATTATGTAATATTGTCATGTGATTATAATACCGATACTAGGTTTAATGGTAAGTAACAATCATAAGAATAAGAATCAGCATATATAGTAATTTGTTTTTGAAACCTCGACATTTTGAATAATTAATAATTATACTTATACTTATATAAAAAACAGTGATGTGATAATCATAATATAATAGTGTGTATATATATATATGTAAATGCGATGTGTGTGTGTATACGCCCACACATGACAAAGAGAATTTGGCTTTTCCGATTTCCAAAGAGATCTTCGGTCCCTCTTTGCAGGTGTTGAAGGTGCTCTCGCAACCTGGCGTGCTCCCCAGCAACTTTCTACCCGTGGCCTCTCAACTGCAGCACTGGAGTGGGACCCTACAGTACCCACCTGAAACTAACATGTTGAACCCAGTTTTTACAACCTTCATTCTGTATCATTCTTACATATTTTGCAGATCAGGTGATTTATATCATGATTCGATGGCTAATCAGATGAGTTCTATCCCTTGGTAATCTAATGATGGAACATCCATCCGCCGGGTTTTGCATGGTGAAATCCGCCCTTTTGATCGTACCCCTATACAATCCCAATTCTCCCACTTTTTTTTGCATAGTGAAATCATGTGTTTTGATGGTGAAATCTCATGAAGTTTCCACCTTTCATGCTGAACTACCAACACGTCGAACACGTGACCCACACGTCCCAGGTGAAGCCTTACGTGGCCCTGCTCTACCTGCGTGGCCACCTGCCAGAACACCGCGCGGCAAGCCGTTGCGGCATGACGCTGCTGCAGTTTCGAATCGCCAAGCAGGCTGGGGGGAACTAGAAGGGATTTACTTTTTGTAGATGGGAAATATATAAGACATGTATGGGAACTACTTAGCGGATCATCCCACAGATCATTATAACTCAGCAAATGGGGTTATAAGCCAGTTGTATATGGGATAACCCCACGAAAGGGGGGCTTACTAACGCCAGCTACTAAGTGGAGTGGACTTTAAATGGCTTGTATTTGTTGCATCTTCAAGGCTATGACTGAGATGATGATCCCAATGGCCAAACATTTTGTGGGTTTGACACCACCAATCAGAGGAAGGATTTACTTCCTGCAGGTGGGACATATATGGGAAATATGAAATTGTTAAATTTACATGGCAACATATGGCAACCCTTTTTTGGTCATTCCCAAATAGATGCAAAAGACATTGTCCCACTATTTCAGTGGGATTTTACTGTTTATCCTTTTGGGAGTTGCTATATTTTGGGAAACACATGCAACATACGCGTTTTTTTCGCATCAAATTAGGGTATGGGAGTTTTTTAGGATTTACCCGGCAAAAATGTGCGAGCCGGAAGCTGGGCGGAAGGGTAGCTGATTGGAATCTCTCAGGTATCAGGGGTTTACCTTACCTTAATGGGAAATATACTAAGCCATAATCTTGGATATAAGTTGATATAAGCATGCTAACATAGTAACCAGCAATGGTTGGTGGATTTATGGAAATTCAACCAACAAACATGGTGGATGTAAGCAACAGTTTCGTCGGGAATAATCGGGATCCAACCAGAAAAAAAACACGGAATTTCACCATCGCACCATTAAATTGTGAATTACTGAACAAAGATAATCAACAGTGGCTTCATCATACGAGGTTTGTCACACAATTGATGTCCTTTTTGTTATTGCAATATATTGCAATCATTTGGATAGCATCCAAAATCTTGGGACAGTCATGTGGTAATTCCATGTAATTCCCCACCAACCCGTTCTCATGATTCCACCATGTTGAGACATATTGAAAAAAATGTGCTTACATGGTGGTTTGTGTTGGTTTGGAAGTCTGGGATTTTTTGAGTTTCCGAACTTAGGAAAAATATGGAATTCTTAGGAAAATATGGAATTCTGTAAAAAATGAAACCGTCGGAAAATACAGAAGACACATTTGAAACAACAATAATTGCTACCAGATTAGTTTTGTTATTGAATATTCTATTCATCTCGCATCTCGGAAAAATACACTTATTTAAGTTCCTTTAATTTCACTTTATTGCTTATACTTTGTTACTGAATATATATTATTTTTGTTACTTGATTAAAAGTTATTCTTTGTATAACTATAGTATTTATTGAATCCGGGGGAAAAACAATTTCTTGAACCCAATCGCAGTTTGGTCCTGTCCTGTACTGTGACTGACTGACTGATTCAGGTTTCATGGATTTTCCATATAATTCCCATGCAGATTTCATGTTGGTTAAGTGCTGGCTTTACTGATTTAGCTTACTGGTGTGTAACCTCCCTGGAACTTGCATGGAACCTCCAGCAAAACTGAACTGCATCAGTTAGAAGACACCATACAACCACCACGCTCGGACGTCAGGGTAGGACGCCATCCGAGCACATCATCAGCATCAGCATCAGCATCAGCATCATCATCAGCATCATCATCATCATCATCATCACTGAGTGCCCGGCTCCATGTCTGAAGTTATAAGGTGCAACTACTTGTGGGATCTGGCTATGTCATAACTGGTCAATCAGGTGGGCCATCTAAGTTACATGACGTTTGCAAGAGCGTAGCATCAAGACCGTCTTCTAAGGCACGCGGCTCCTATTCACTGCAAATACCAATGCAAAAAGGCACTGCGACGATCTCCCGCGCTTGCCAGTAGAAATGGCTGCGGAAGCCAAATGACTTGTAAAATGAAGTACGAAATGACACCAAGTTGCGCGCCCTACCCGGACGTCCGAGCCAACCACCACGTGTATAGATAAAGGGAACATGTTCGAAACCTTTTTGGGGACTACATGGAAACTGTCAGACTCTTTGATTCAAATTGATCGCAAATCGATCGTAAATCGATCGTACGCTGATCGGTAAACAAAACACAAATCTGTAATAGCACCTGTGCATACCTGTGCGTTTTGTCGTTTTCACTAGGTCATTTGTCTTTGCGGACGTATCTTTTGGCTTCTGCGCTGGGAAATTCAAACTCCTCCAGATTTTTATTTACCCTGAGTTTTCGTTGCTTGGCAGTTTCGATTTTGGAAATATCATATACGGTCATCAAGCTGACATCAACCCAGATATAAAACTACGCAAAATCCACGCTTGAAACCCTGGCCTTGCTAAAATCAGACTCTAATCAGACACATTGCAAAATCCACACAAAACAAAACAGACTTCCAAACCACCAACCCAAACCACCAACCCAAACCACCACATAACTATAACCTGAATATGCGTGGGATGAAGATTCAGATAAAGTGAGGGGGCTATTCGTGACCAATCACCATACCCAGGTATAAATGCGTTGCGAGCATGGCTCAACACCTAACAAAACCTTGTGCACATCTCGTATTCTTTCATCAGCTATCCCCATTTTTGTTGGGTTTGTATACTCCTGTTTCGTAGGTCTTCAACTGCTGGAATCTCCCAGTTCCTCGTTTTCACGGCTTTGCGGCCGAACCTTCGGAAAAACAACCTTTCACCTTGAAAATGTCTTTTTCACGGCTTTGCGGCCGAAACTTGCAAAGAACAGCGTTTGAGTCTGAAAATGTGTTGTTTCCACGCGTTTGCGGCTGAAACTTGCGAAGAACAACGGTTCCGTAAGGAGATCCGGTGACGGACTTCTGGAATGAAGATCCTGTCAAAACCTAGAATTTCCTGTATCTATAAATGGTTCCGCTGTCACAGCATGGCCGCTTAAAATCAAAGAAATCACCCTTTGGCAATCAAACAAGGTATATAATGGAAAATCTCTCATTTTATAGATGCTTTTCAATTTAACACTTCCATTTGTAAGGGATTTTCCATTGCCATGTTTGGTTACGGAGGGTACATCCAATTTCGGGCCACTTAGGTTCTTGGCATGATCGCCAGATGGGGATGATCCTATAAATTAAGTCTATGGTTGGTATCATCATTATACGCAGACATGCATGAAGATAAACAACATATATTTACATATATACAAGTATATTTACATATCCATACAAAATTGTTGTTCTATATTTAAATATACATTTATATGTGTTTATATATTATATATATACCTGGATATTCATTGGTTACAAATTTATTTCCAGGGCAGATTTTGGTTTGGTTTCTATCAATTTTCTGTAGATTTGCCCATTTCAAAATAAAAATGATCATTTCAAGAAAAAAACACCACTTCATGTTTTCATTTTTGAGTCATGATGAATTTGCCCGGGTATTTCCGCACTTTTCCCGGGTATTTACGACCTTTTCCCGGGAATTTCCGCCCAGAAAAACCGACACATTTTTACGCAAAGTAGAGTAAGATCAGCCCAAAAGGTACAAATTAAATCAAATTAAATCCAAAATTGACCACAGTAGTCATTTCCAGCTCCTTCAGAAATCTTGCAAACGGACAATTATTTGTGTTCTTTCGAAAATCCAGGTACATATATGTATGTATACACATGAATATACATTATATATAGATGCATTTTCCAAAAACATTGATCACATCGTGGTCATAAAAGCGTTCTGGAGGCATTGGAGAAGCTTCAAGGGAAGCAGGTGGCGGTGAAGATGACGGAGTTCATCATCGAGGAAAACGTGGCCTGCGCCGTGGTGGAGCTCCCCAAAGGCGGCCTTTTTGCTGTGCTTGTCTTGTTTTTTGTATCATTCGGAAAACGAGGAACCCACCACTGTACGCGGTCAAACTTGGAGGCTCAAGAACCTACGGTTGATATCAAGTTGAGCCTCAGGCCATCCATTCGTTTCTTAAGTGATTTAGACCCATTGCCAAGTGGCGCGTAAGAGCACTGAAACTTCTTTGGCACAAGAAGCCGTGACTAGCCATGACACTGATGGTTTCTTGAAGAGTACTCTTTTTCTTCCCCACGTCGGTCATGTCAATGATCAATGTGGTCAAAATTTGTAAGAGATCTGAGATCACAATTTTACCCTTTGGGGTTTGTATCAACCTTGAACAATTGGATAATATATACAATATAGTGATATAGTGTGTATATATATATGTATATAATTGTATATATATATATGTGTGTGATTATATATATATAATGCATATGTATATATATATATATTATTCGGTTGACCACGCTACTCCGCAAGGCAGGGCCACCCACCTTCAACTTGTGTGTGAATGTCACTGGGTATAACCCACTTGAGCCGCTTCAAAAAAACAGTTGGTCGATGATTGGTTCTTGGGTTTTTCTCTTCTGTATATCAAGTTGGGATTATCATACTCCATGAACTGGGAATCCTCATTTTCACCTACCATGTGTTGCTTGGGATTTTCCGGTAGGTTTTGGTTTTGGCTCCCCAGCTAAATTACAAATCCGTTACCCTAACTCCCAGCTATTGCAGGCGTATTATAGCAGCAACCCCGACATGATAGAAAAGTAACACCCTATATACTAGAACTTGGTTGTTGTCACCATTTCTGCATCGTTTTGGGGGTTACTATGTGCCCACATTAAGGGATGATCATCAATCCAAATTTCATCGGGATTTATTCCCACATTCTATATTCGAAGGAAGTTTAGAAGTCAGACTTCCGACAATATGGACAGATGGAAAAGCGGAGATGGGAAGAGCCAGAGAAGAGAAGAGAAGAGAAGAAGAGAGAAGATCAGAGAAGAGAAAGAGTCAGAAGAAAGAAGATGCAGGCGCGGGAAAGGTAGAAAAGTCGCGATTCACTGTGCTTTTCCAACCTGGAGATTCATTCTCCTGGAAAAAGTCAGGAGTTTCCGCGTTCCAGCGATTTCAGTCAGGAATTTCAGGTGTTTCATGTCATTTGACAGTGCGACGCTGCCAAGTGGGGCCATCCCCAAACCCTGAGAATCAGAAAATGTTAGCTCTCCGTCATTTTGGGATTTGCGGATATTTGCAGGAGTTTTGCGGATATTTGCGGGATTTTTGCCAGCTGGTAATTTCCAACGTTTTCGTTGGCAACTTCACTTTGCTCAACTCAGCCCTCAGACCTTAAAAAGCACCCTGGACATCGTATTGCCTTCCAAAAGCAAGGAGTTTTAGGAGTTTCTGTTGTTTGACGTCAAGTCCATAATTTGCAGGGAAAAGCAGGTAAACACCGAGAACTTAGGGATTTTTCCAGGGTTTTGAATCTCCAGGAGTGATTTGTGGCTCCGGAGGGTCGAAAAGTAGGCTCGCTAAAGCGGCGGGCTTGGAGCCATCTGGGGAGATGAGAGATGACAAATTGAACGCCGTTGTGGCGCCAAACACATTTGCAAGTGAAGAAGCTAAAAAACGCCTCACATTCGGAGCACTTTTGGAAGTTGCGATGTGGAAAAAGTTTACGCCGTTGTGGCGCAAAGCACATCTCCAAGTCAAAAGTGTTAAAAACTGATGGGCTCGGACACTTTTGGAAGTTGCGATGTCGAAAAAGTGTACGCCGTTGTGGCGCAAAGCACATTTCCAAGTCAAAATGTAAAAAGCACACCACGTCAAGAGCTCTTTTGGAAGTTGAGATGTTCAAAAAGTGCACACCGTTGTGGCGCGAAGCACGTTTCGAAGTCAGAATGCTAAAAACACCACATGTTTGCGCCACTTTTGGATGTTGAAGCGTCGTTTTGCGTCGCAGGGCAAGGGATTCTGCACCCTGCCAAAAGTGAGCAAAACGTAAGGGTTTTGTAGCATTTCCACAAACGATGGAAGGTGTGTGACATTTCAAGAGGATCTGCAAAGATGCATTTCGCGTGGCATGTGCAGTACAAGAGACATGTTCATCAGAGATGTTGACTCCGGTTGCATTTTGGAGCATCAGATCTTCAGGTTTGCTAAGATGATTTTGCGCGACAGGTGCAGCATTTCGTATGACCCGGCTTCACTTTTTCGTGGCAGGAGCAGTACTTTAAACAGATGGAATGGAAAAATCGCAAAGTGCATTTGCACGAGGCCGTCAGCTCTGCCCTCAACTGTCCATTTTTGAAGGAAGTATGGCAGAATTGCTCGGTTTTTGAATGTTTTGATGTTGTCAACTAGAATAGAATGACGACGTCTCGCAGAATTGCTTCCTTTCTGACTTTGTCAAGTTCAAAAATTGAGGAAGTCTCGCAGAATTGCTGCGCTTCTGATGTTGTCAAGTTCAAAAATTGAGGAATTCTCGCAGAATAGCTTCGTTTTCAAGCTTGTAGATAGACAGATAGATACATAATGATAAATATAGATAGATAGGTAGATAGATAGATAGATAGACAGATAGATAGATAGATAGATAGGTAGACAACTACAACTACAGCTGCAACGGCAACTAAACTACACTACCACCACAACTACAAATGCAAACGCGCTACGCTACAGTACACTAATAACACTATACTACACCAATTACACTACACTACACTAATTACACTACAACTATAACTACAACTACAACTACTATTACTAATACAGCTACAGCTACAATTGCAACTACACTACATTACACTACACTACACTAATTACATTTCGCTACGCTACACTACACTAGAGTTCAACTTCAACTACAACTACACTACTTTACACAACACTACCCTACACTAATTACACCACACTACAACTACAACTACACTCATCTACACTACACTACACTAATTACACTACACTACGCTGCACTAACAACTACAGCTACAACTGCAGCTACATCTGCAACTACACTACTTTACACTACACTACACAACACTATACTACACTACACTACACTATACGTCACACTAGACTACGTTACTGCACACAACACTACAGCACACTACGCTACACCACATTACATTAAACTACACTACACCACACCACAACTACAACTGCAACTACACTACACTAATTACACTACACTACAGCTTCAGCTACAGCTGCGCTACACCACACTACATCTAGCAGTTGTGGGTGAGGTGACCACCGCAACCACTGCGACCATTCCAAAAAACACAACTCCAACCACCTTTCGGCCCATCAGTGGATTCGCTCTGCCATCCACAACAACTCACCTCTCCTATAGTGTCCTATCTTTGAACTTCCGCCACCGCCTTGTGCGGTACTACTGGTATGTTTGGCTTCCCATGGCATGGGATAGATGACCACACCACATATGAACCCACGCAACTTGACCATGGCAGAGCTATGGCCCTGCTGCCAGGCGTGCCATGCGCCAGCAAGATTCCGCACCTGACACTGGGCACACGGGAAAACGTGCCGGCGCAGCATGCATGCGACGTCTTGGAAGAGATCCTGAGCCAAGGGCGAACTGAAGGCATTACTCGGATCAAATTGCCCAAAGCCAAGGAGATGGGGCGGATGGGAGATGGTGATGGAAGGATGCATGTCTGATTGTCTGGACATAATATAAATATGTATATAAATATACATATACATATATATATACTCGTGTAGCTAAGAACCTTCGACCATACATGAACCATTTGTAGGCATCTTATGATCGAGAAAAGGCCGTATTGTGCCTTGGGATTTCCGAGGGTTATGAGCCCAACCACCCTGTGCTTCTTTTAGCGGTTTGGGCACATGGAACGCGCCAGATCGGTGCCAGTGCGTGGAACATCTGGTTTAGCGGTCAACCCATTTCACTCCGAAAAGGTACAATGTGAATACATGTTGGGAGCTGCAAGACCGGTGGATCTACCAGAGTATCAGGAAGGGGATAGCAGTTTAGACCCCATTCAAAGCTTGTCAGGTGTGGCAAATCAATTTCAGCAGGTTGCAGGATCGACTGGGAAGGGTCGCGGAGGTGCCTCAGCGGGTTTTGCTGATGGTCCAAGACCTACACGAGAGGAGCAACCTATGAGGACTGAAGGAGTGCTGCCAGGTGAAACTGATGGGTCAAGAACTATGGGGAGGGTGAAACCCCAAACTGATAGCTGGGGAGACTCTTCGGCGCCAGATGGACTTCAGAGGGCACTGGAAGGGGAGTTGGTGTCGTTTTTGCGCCAACAGAATTCGGAACTCATGAATGAGTTGTCATATCTCAGAGGCAAGCTGGAGAAAGGATCTTTGGGGAAGTCTGGAACTGGTATGGAATCTTCACCCTGGTCAGCGGTTGGGGTTCAACAGATAGCTCAACTGGTTTTGTGGGATCATTTCAACCAGAAAGACATGGACGGCATGGTAGTCGTACACCCAGGTCCAAGGTACGTGATGCAGCGGTGAGCCCTGAGAAGAAAGATGTGAGGCGATACACGCCGAATGGCACTAAGGTTCCTGAGGGTCCTCCACCTGAGACCAAGGACCCACTGCCTCCGGTGCCACCATTTCCGGTTGCTCCTGTGGTTGATCAGGGGGGAGATGGAATGAATGGTAGCTTCAGCAGTGAACTGTATGATACCTGTGAATCAAAGCGTGGAATGAAGAATGGGGATTTGGCATGGAAACCACAGCATGCGCAAAGTGATGTTTGTGATGTTTTATCTCCTACAGAGGCAAAGCAGGTTTGGCTGGAACGTGAGGTCAGATCTCTCAAATCAGCCTTGGATCGTGTTTCTCATCCCATGTTGCAACAGTCAGAGTATTGGAATGCTGGTTTTGACAATCGAATTTCATCATCTGGGTTGGGTCAGTTGACCGATACTGCACGGGTGCTGAATGATCGTTTGGCTGCTTTTGGTGGAAGCGGCACTGATGCTCTTCAAGCTCGGGCTCAGCATGGACTTGACGCTCTTCAAGCTCGGGCACAGCATGGACTTGATGGTCTTCAGCATCGGGCTTCAGCAAGCGTGCACTGTGCTCCTGAGGTTCCACAAGGAGTTCGGGCAGCGTACATGCATGGAGAACACCTGGATCGAGATCGGGCCTTGTACGGGCATGGTGAACTTTCCGGACAAGCTCGGGCCTCATCTGCAGTGCATGGTGGACATCTCCAACAAGCTCGGGCTTCAATGGCAGAGCACGGTGGACATCTCCAACAAGCTCGGGCTCCGATGGCAGCGCATGGAGATCTATTTGAACAAGCTCGGGCTCCGAGTGCAGCGCTTCATGATGGCCTATATGGACACGCTCGGGCTGATCCTTTGGCAGGTGGCGTGGAGTCTGCACGGGGTCTACATGACTGTGGGCGTGGAGATTCTTGTCCGCTTCCTCAACATGGTGTGGGGGGAGGTGGAGTGGGAGATGGAATGTCAAAGCTTCGACATGAAGGCATGTGGAGTGAGTCGACGGGGGGCATGAACACCAAAGGGGAGTTGCCCGATCTTCCCTCGTCGGCGACGCCATTGCAGTTTGGCGACTGGCTTCATCTGAGCACTCCAGTGATGAAGGATATCAGCAGTGTGGCTGGTTGGTGGTGGGAGACAACTCTCAGAGAGGCCAAGGTCTTCTACGAGAACTGGAAACATAGCAGCCCTCTGCAGCGCATTCAGATAGTGCCGAAGATGCCAGAGGAACTTCGAGAAGGCCGGTTTCAAAGAACTGAGCAGCGCGGCATTCAAATGCTTCTCAAGTCGCTGCCGGAGGTGGAACAGCAGGCCCTGATCACTGACAGAGTTTTGTCATCCACTGCAATCATCTACAGGTTGCTGGTGCGCTTTCAACCAGGTGGAGCAGGAGAAAAACAACTGCTGTTGAGCCAACTCACAACAATCCCCAAGGGCAAGGATATCCATGAAGTTGCAGCGGGACTTCGAAATTGGAGGCGGCATTATGGAAGAGCCCAGGAGGTGGATGCGACATTGCCAGATGGCGTTTTGCTCCTCAAAGCTCTTGATGTACCACTTCAACAACTAGGTCAGCTTGACCCCCAGGCTGCGTTCAGATTGAGCCAAAGCCGGATGCAGCTCTACTTGGACCAGCAGCCGACGCATGAGAACTTGTGGGCATTTTCACAGTGTTTGCTGGCAGAGGCAGAGACCTTGGTCCTGCTGCAGACCTCCTCTACTTCGACAACGCCTACAACGACCCTCAAGATCAAGCAGCTGGATGGTGATGTTAAATCACCTGGAAAAACAACTGGCGACATCAAGCCCAAGCAGAGCGCGATGGCGGAGAAACCATGCCGCTACTTCATCTCTGATGGTGGTTGCAAGGCAGGCAAGTCATGCAAGTGGCTCCACTCATGGGATGGCGTGACTGACAAGGCCTCTCGTTGCTGGATCTGTGGGGCAAAGGACCATCGGAAGTCCGACTGCAAGGTGAAAGCTGCTCCGAGAAAACCAGGTGAGCCAGCTGGCTCAGGGGGAGGAACTGGCCAAGGACGTGGGGGGAGCAACAACAATGATGTGCCAACCTCTACAACTACGGCGGCTTCATCAGGTTCCTCAACTGGCGGCAAAGCCGGCGCTGCAGCAGCAAAGATCTTGCAGACCACGGACATGATGAACACCACTTCAACTTCATCAACATCAGCATTCCCTGGAGAGGTGAAAAGTGCCAATGGACTCCCGGAAGAAAAGGGCGGTTCAGGAGATGGTGGAACTGGAGGTGATCCCAAAGGAAACAAGGCTGATGAGTTGCTACATGAAGCGACACAATTGCTGAAGTCGCTGCGAGTTCAGCCCAAGATCAACGTCATGCAACTGGCGGGATTGGAGCAGGCGGAAAATGACTGGGTGCTGATTGACTCAGGCGCCACTCATGCCCTACGTCCTGCACATGATCTACATGAATGGACCAATGCAGAGAGGACTGTAGTGCAACTTGCAAATGGTGAGACGGAGGCTTTTCGTCTCAAGAAGGGCACCAAGGTGTTGTTGGGGCATCCAACGCAGACGACCTCAAGGATTGTGCCTATGGGTGGTCTCACCGCGCTGGACTTCACACTGCAGTGGTCTGGAGATCAATGCCAGCTACGTGACGATGAGGGCAGGGAATTTGAGGTACGAGTTGTTCAAGGCTGCCCTATGGTATCTCTAGCAGATGGCCAGAGAATTTTGGAGTGGCTGGAGTGGTATCAGGTGCATCAACAACGGAAGCTGGCGATGGTGAGAACTTTGCTGGCTGATGACACACAAGTGGATCGACAGCGTTTGGACTTGGAATTGGCCTTAACCTACAAGTTGCGGCAGCTCTTTCCACATCTTCCTGATGAAGTCATGATGAGAGTGGTACCGCATCTGGAAATGGTCAAGACGGAGAACTTTGAGTCCAACCTTCCATGGAACCGGCACAAACGCCGACGTCTCCGTCAAGCCAAGCACGTGATCATCCACTTGTTTTCAGGCCCAGATCACAACTACTGGGATCAAAGATGCGCCAATGCCAACACGGAGGTGCTTTGCATTGATACTACATGCTCTACGCCAGCCAACCTCCATGATCGGAATGTGTTTGGCTATTTGCTCACACTTTGTGCCAGTGGACGCGTCAGAGCAATCATGGGTGGTCCACCTTGCAGGACGGTGTCAGCTCTGAGGTATCAACATGATGATGGTCCTGGAGTGCTGAGAACTGAAGAGCATCCATATGGCCTTCCAACTTTGAGCCCTGCGGATGCGGAACTGGTGATTGCTGATTCAGTTCTGATGTTTCGCTTTTGGTCCCTGCTCATGGTCGCTGAGGAGATGCGTGAGGAAACAGAGCCTCCGACGCAGTTTTTCATGGAGCAGCCTGAGGACCCAAAGCGGTATCGTTCAGAAGAAGATGTGCGACAGCATGGATACTTCTCAGTGTTCCGCACTGCTGAATGGAAGGCCCTGGCAGAGAAGTACCACTTGGTGCAGTATCATTTTGATCAACATCCGTTGGGGCACTCAAAAAGAAAGCCTACATGTCTGGCCACGAACGTGCAAGAAGTTCGGCATCTTGATGGTGTGCGTAGAGCCCCTAGCAATGAAGCAGAAGCTGGAGCTCAATTTCGGCCCATGACAGTTGATCAAAGATGTGAAGTTTCAAGAACATGGTCGCAATGGGCCCTTGGACTGAAGAATGCGATTTCATTGGCCGTGAGCCAGCGGGTTCAGTGGCTTGACAGGCATCCTGATCAACCTCAACAACCAGCCGTCAGGACCCTGGGCTCTGCAGCTCTCGAGTCATGGAAAACGCACTACCTCCACGACCATATGCCCTCTCGTAGAGATTGCCAACACTGTGTCAGAGCACAGGCTCGGGCACGCCCACATCGGCGAGTTCAACATCCGGAAGCGTTCACTTTGTCAGTGGACCTGAGCGGCAAATTCACGCCGGGCATCAACCAGGAACAGAAGCAGTGCAAATACTTGCTTGTGGGGGTCTACACTTTTCCCATCACCAAGGATGGTGTGCCACTGGCTTCTCCGGATGGTGTTGAGCCTCAGGATCAACCGCTTCCTGGTTTGGATGAGCTCGAAGCCGAAGATGGAGTT